TCACAGTTTATAATTTTACTATATGATTTATATTGTGCTGTCTGTTGCTTCCAATATTCGTATTCTGTGTAGAGTTTAATAGTGATATTCAGTTTTTAAATTATATAATATATCAGGTAACTTCAATCACTTATTGAAATATTGAAAACATTATCACATTTGTAATCCTTTATTTTTTCCTCTGATTTTATTCCTTTACTCTTTTTGTTTCATTTATTTTTTTTCCTAAAAAAATTACAAGATAGGAAAATTCAAGATAGCCAACTTTTTCAACAATTCAGGAACCAAGAAGGTAAATGTGTTCACTAAAAGGGGAATTATTAAATCTAGTAGATGGCAGCAGTATTAAAATATATTGGATGCAGTTAAAATGGTAACATTCCAGGTTGATGCTGGCTGGGGAATTCTGGGAGTTGAAGTCCATGCATCTTAAGGTAACTGAGATTGATAAACATTGCTCTAAAGGAATGCATTAATATGCCTGAAGCATCATCCTTATATGGGGGCAGCTCTGGACTTCTGAGGAAACAATGGCAAACCAAAGATGGCTCCGCTGAGAGTGGAGCCAACAAGCATGGTGGAATGAGGAGCCGGCGTATGGACCAGCCTCTCAGAATTCCTCTCCAGACAATTCCTCTCACATACACTCCAAACAGCAGGTCCCCATGAGGAGACTATAAAACAGTGGACTCCCCCAGATTAAGAGCTCTGGAAGCTGAGGGATCACCATCTTTGCCCAAGCCACAGTCAATGCCTTCAAAAGGACACTGGGTTCACATACTTCCTTTCTTAATCACTTCTGGAAATTGCTTGTTAATGGTTTTTTGGATATCACAAAATGTTTCATCACCTGGGTGAGTTTCCTTTAACCCTTGGCAAAAGAAGTTTTATGCAAGTTTAAGGACTTAAAAAAAATTATTTTGGAGTAAACAGCAAAAGGGTGATTAGAACATTGATTTTGGAAAGTTATAAATGGACTAAGGAGCCAGATGGATTTGAAACAAGATTTTGAAATTAATTGCAAGAATCCTTCCCATGGGAAAATGCTGCTGATTAGGAAAAAAAACATGGTAAGATGGGACTTTGAAGGTTGAACACTAGAGGGAATGAGAAAGAACTAAAGATCATAATTAAAAGGGAAGAGACCCACTAATACAGAATGGAGCAAAATACTTTAACTTTGGAAGAATTCAAGGATATTTGGGAACAATGCATTGTTATCTGGGGACAGCTCTGATGATAAATATAACCATTTAAAGCTAAAATCTCAGTGTCTGGAGGCTGTGGGCAACTGGATGGAGAACAGGCTTCAACTCAACCCCAGCAAGACTGAGTGGCTTTGGGTATTGGGACCCCTTGGTTCTGGGGACTTTTCGTCTCTTGTTCTGGATGGGGTGCACTACCCCAAACTGAACCTGTGTGCAATTTTTGGGTCCTTCTGGAGTCACAGCTCCTGTTTGAAGAGCAGGTGGCAACCGTGGCAAGGAGGACCTTTGCATAACTCCATGGAGTTGGAGGCCCTGTTAACTTCAGTCACCTCTGGTATGGGTTGCTGCAACATGCTCTACATGGGGCTTTCATTAAAGAGTATTCAGAAGCTTCATCTGATGCAAAATGCAGCTGCACGAGCAGTTATGTGCACTCCATGATCAGCACACGTTACAACCCTGCTCCACAAGCTATATTGGCTGCCAGTCTGCTTCGAGTCCAATTCAAGGTGCTGGTAATGACCTATAAAGCCCTACATGGCATAGGACCAGGTTATTTGAGGGACCGCCTCCCTCCAATCACATCTGCCCATCCCATCAGATCCAGCAGGCTCTGAGTCCTGTCAGCTAGGGAGCATCATCTGGCAGGGCCAAGGGGGAAAGTTTGGAACATCATCCCCCCAGAGATCAGATTGGACCCAACTCTGCTGGCCTTTCAAAAGACTGAAGACATGGTTTTGCCAACAGGCATGGGGACCACGAAATGTGGCAAAGCCAACACAGTAGTTGAATTGAATGGTATTTTTAGATGTGATTATGTCGGCTATGAATTTTATGATTTCTTTATGATGGTTTTTATATGCTTTTGTATTGCTTTGTATTGTTTTTGTTGTATTGTCTAATTGTGTTGTTTTAATTGTTTATAAGCCACTCAGAGTCATATATATGAGATGGGTTAGCTATATTCATTGGAATAATAAAGTAAATAAATAAATAAATAAATAAAATTATTGATCTCACATATCCAGAGAAAGGTAAAACTAGGCAGTTGGCCTAGTTTGGACTATAAATTCAGACATTATGGGGTGAGCTATAAATTAATGAGTATCAAACTGAAGTGTTTCCATTTCATAAGCATCACCAGCACCCAATAAGCAGAAAATGTTGTCTCAATTACTTCTGCTTGAGGATGAATATAATCAACCATCTTAGATCACCCCTAGATTCCCCTTTTTCACTATGGGAGCCATTATTCAAACATGAGTCATAACCATCGATCCTCAAGTCTCCTAGTGCCCAGGTTTCCAGCAGAAATAAAATAATAAATCTGAATAGATACTTAATAAAAGAAGGATCAGACTTTAGCCAATATCCAGCAGTATTCTCTGAGATGAAAGAGATGTGATATAACTACATGCAAGGCCAATCCATAAGCAGTTTCCCAAAACAGCAAATAATTTAAATATAAAACAAAAAAATAAAGATGCCAATAAAGCTTCAGATAATATCAACCAAACTAAAACCATGGTGTATCTGTTAGTCTTTTAAGATCCTCAAAAGTATAATTCAGGAATTCAGCACTATTGTAAAAGTAATTAATTAATTAATTGCATATATCAGTTACCTTTTTAGGATCATATTTTTGTAAAATTATTACCAAATAAAACAGCAATAGTTCAATGCAGTTTTGAAGGTAATTGCAATAGAAGATCCTGACCTTTACAAAAAACTGGGACTGGTGACCAGGTGTAATTCGAAAGACAAGTAGTAGCGGGCCTTTTGGGATGACCAGGGATGTGCTCAGCACCTCGGTGGCAAACATGGTTCACAACTGATCCCACAGGATAGAACAAAATATAATCTTGATCCACTACAGTAAATCTGGTCTCTTGTGGAGTCTCACAGCCACCTGTGAACAAAAGCAGACAGAAGTAGTGAAATACTATGTCAGGAAGGCTTACAAAAGAAAGGCTTTTTAAAAAAACATGTTAAAAGTATTATGTATTATGTATGTTTATTATGTGTTGACAACTGATAGGAGAAAGGGCATACAGGTCAATAGCTGCTATATTTAACCTTCTCCTGGCAACAATATGAAGCCCAAGAAATGAAGATTCATTTCTTGCTCCATTCTGATTTTGATTGCCTCAACCAGGTGACTAGATAGAATGACACTAGGCCAGGGGAATGTGGTTGAAAAAATGGTGAACAATGAATCACAATGCAAACATTGAAAGGAGATTAAAAAAAAGTAAGATAGAAAGATGTCCAAAACAGGAAGAAATATTGTTCAAGAAGGGACTTTAATATTTTATCAGGTTCATACCATCTGTGTTTGGAAACTATCAAATAGCATTTAGAATGGAGTTTATAAACATGTGGAAGCTGAAAAATATATTACCTTTTTATGACCCTATTGGAAGTTCTTTTAGAGAAAGAATTGTTATTTTCTTCATGCTTTGCTATTATTAGGATTCAGCTGTTACGCTATTTTCATATTTGGCTCTTAATTACATGTTGTTTGTTGTACCCCTATGACCTTGACTACAGGGAAAGATTGCAGTTTTTTGTCACAGCTCCTCCTCTTCTTCTCTCCTTCAGTCTCCCTCTCTTTTTCCCCCTTGCTTTTCCCTCTTTTTTCTCTCCCCCCACCACTTTCATTTAAGGATGATATATTTAAATAGGTTAATCAGTATAACTGTTTTCTCATTCCCCATAATATTACATTGGTTCATCTAATATTAACAATAACAATTACCTGGATCGTTTATTAATCTGCATGGGTGGAGTGAAGAATCTGCTACACTATATTTGATGACTTTTAGTATCACTTCTTTTTTCTTATTTAATTATTTTTCCTACCTTTGTATTTTGGCTTGGTGTTTCAACAGATACCACATGGGTATATGACTTTGCTTCAATATTAATAAAATCTATTTTTAATCCTCTTTCCTTGGCCTCCCTGCGATCACACACATGCATGCATGTACCTCACACCCTCTTTCCACAGCCTCTCTGTGACTGCATGCACCCCATGCCCTCTTTCTCCTGCCTCCTTGTGATCACATGTACCCCGTGCCCTCATTCTCTGGCCTTCCTGAGCTTGCACCACACCGAGCACCCCTCTCTGACTTGCACATGGCCTGCACCAGGCCTCCCAGGGCCTCCCTCACTCCCCCTGAGGCACCCCTCACTCCTTACCTCCTTACCTGGGACTCTCTCCGCTTCCCACTTAACCACTTAAAAATGTCTAGGGTTACCATCACTAAGTGATGCGGTCACATGACAATCCCAGTCCCAACTGCAGTCATAACTCAAGGACTACCTATGTACCTATTTTTCTCTCTTTCACTTTATTTTTTAATTAATTGTCTTTATCATTTAGTCATCTTAATTTCCAAGTTATGCTCTTCCATGTACCATAGTCATCAGCTGATAGGACCACAAATGTGTTTTGCCCATCGTGACTTTGGACAGCTGAGGCTTTCATATATTTTCAGTAAAAAACAAAACAAAACAAGAAAGAGTAAGCTAGGTTACCAGCCATAGTTGTACCCCTGTCACATGTAGCATGCCCTGCTAAAGGTAATGGCATGTGAATGTTAGGCATTGTGACTAATATGTGATAAGCACAACAAAAGTCCAGTTTTATGCCAAGCATCCTCTCATCTTGCTTTACAGGCTAGTATCTCTAATTTAGAGATTGCTTTGCAAGCTAACATTATGTTGCATGCATCCCAATAATTAGGAAATAAATGCATAGAGATATATCCTTTGCAGGGCTTTTTTCTACATCTTCACTTATTATACTGCTATACATTTATTGTAATATTTAGGATATACATCAAATAATCAAGATATAATTGAATGCCAATGGGATAGCATCACTAATTCATAAATTACCACCTTAAGCTCATGGAGATAGGACAGGATAGAAATCTATCAGTCTGTAGTTACTAAGAACATAACGAAAAAGAAAACAACACGGCAGTCAGAAAACAGCAAGGTTTACACCAACCCCCTTTTTTTTTAAAAGAATATAAAATATATAGGTATGAGGACCTTTAGAAAATATTGGCCGACCTCAACTGCAATGGCCCTCTTGGTGCTGCCAGCTTTTCTGAAAGCCCGGTGGGTCCAGGTCTATGGGTACCCCAGTATGGATCCCCTTCTGCCATATGGGAGCTTCCAACATCATATTTACTGCCCCCGCTGCTGCTAGAAGGATAACTGGCTTCTCCCTGCGGAGTGATAGGGGAGCGGGAAGGAGGAGGAAGAGGGGGCCCTTTCTGCTTTTTTCCACTTTTCTTCTCATCCTCTGAAATTTCAAGCTAATCTGCAAGATCAACCTGCCCCAAAAATGCTTTTTTGGTGGGGAGGTAAGCACTGTTTTTTCTAGCATCAGTGAAACAAGGGTGGGGGAGACAAAAAAAGGAGGAGAAAAAGCAGGCAGGATGGCTGGCTGAAGGAGCAGCTGCCAGGCAGTGTCAAGCAAAAGCTGAGGTTAAAAAATAAAAAGGGGGAAGAGGGGTGGGAAGGGAAGGAAAGACAAAATAAGGGGAGAAAGAGAGATGTGGAAAGAGGAAGAGAAAGTGGCAGAGGAAGGAGAGAGGAAATGAGAGAAAGAAAGAAAAGAGAGGGAGAGGGAGGAGGTGGGGGAGTGAGGGAGAGAAACAGGATTCAGGAAATGTACCTCTGTACCCATAGAAGTCTAACAAATAAAGTAATTAAATAAATAAAGAGCCTAAGTATTAGATAATTCTTAAATACTTCTCCTTTTAATAAGCAACTGGAAAATATATGGAAGACAAAAACAACTTACGCTCACAAAACTCTTCTATCTGTTCCCATTCTGAGTCTGCAAGACAATGTACAATGTACTTTTTGCTGTGATCTTCTTTATAGCCAGGAAGACATCCATAGGTTACTGACTCAGAAGGTTTGTAGCTAGATGTAATAGGATCAAACGGCTTAGCATATTTCAATACTGGTGGAGGTCCACAGTCACCTAAATTAAAGAGAAATTCATTTCAGTCAACGTACAGCTAGTTTGCACTGCAAAATTTTCTACTGGTTTATATGGACTATAATCAGCAGAATGCAATGTAATCATATTTGATATCAGTTGAACTCAAGCAAAATGTTATATTTAATTCAGATGGAATTTCTTTATTACTTTTATATACTGCCAGCTTCAATCTATGTTTCCAGTCATAAAATCAGCACAATAAAACAGAAATTATAATAATACATAAGATAATAAAGTGCAATACAATAAGAAACAATGGTGCTGGACAGTAAAACCCCTAAACTTCAAATGCCTTGCAAAGAAAGCTCTGTTTGCAGGGTGTTTCTAAATGATACCAACATAGGGCCAGCGTGAACCTTGATGGGAGACTGTTTCCTAAGGTAGGGCCATTACAGAAACACATTGCCTTTAGGCCCTTATACATCTAACCTCCCAACACTGAAGTACCCCAAGGTTCCCCACTTGGGATAAATATTCAGGGCAGGTGAGTTCACCTGCAGAAGATGATACTGAAAGTCCCTTTACTCAAGTCATGTAGGGCTTTAAAACCAGCATTTCGAATTCCACTCAAAAGCCGGTTGGCAGCCAACACTGTACTTGCAATACCAATGTGATGTGGCTGTAGAGGTTTTCAGCTGGGGAAAAGGGGGAAGCTGTCAGTAGAGCAACTGAAGTGAACTCAGTAGCATTTAAAGTAAACTGAAAACTAGTGAAGATAAAAATAAATATATAAAAAAGAACCTTAACAAGGAAGAGGAGAGAGAGTTTGGGCCCTAGGGTACGCAAATGTTACAAGGGATAGCCAGTATATTATCCCAGATCCTAACCTACAATACTCAGAGATTTAGATGAGGAGAAAGAAGAAGGTAAGTGGTTTGTTGGGATAGAGAAAAGATTAAAGGAGAAAGGAGACCTGTGGTGTGGAGAAAGCTAACAAAGATGTACCCTCAGAAATCTGAGCTGACCTTATGAAATCCATGATGAGACACCACGAAGACCATATGAGAGTGATGAAAAGGAAGGATGAGGAAAAGGAGAATCCTGGAGAGAAAATGAAAGTTGTGAATACCTGGAGAGGGAAAGGTTAGAGTGAGATGTATGGAGAGAGGAATTCAGAGATGGCGAGGCGGCGGGGGGAGTGTTATTGCTAAAGGGAGCTCAGACCTCTGGAGAAGGTGCACAAACAACTGAGTCATCCCCTGGGGTAGAGAGGTTGGAAGATTTAGCCATATAAAACTCCACAAGTTAACTGAAAAAGAGGACATCAAAGCATTTTTACAATATTCAAAAGTACAGGTAGTCCTCATTTAGCGACCACAATTGGGACTGGCAACTTGGTCATTAAGTGACATGGTCACTAAGTGAAACTGATTGTGCTTACGATCTTACTTCAGCCTTCCTTTGCTTTACAGACCTGCAAATGTCAATGCAAGAATTGGTTGCAAAGTTATTTTTTCATCACTGTTGTAACTGCAGGTGGTTGCTAAATAAGGCAGTTGGTAAACGAGAACTACCTGTATAGGGATTTCACAGAAATGCCCCAAAGAGGAATAGGTGGTCAAATTAGCTCTTTGTCTCACAAGAAAAACTTTACAAGCTTGTCCCTGCACAGGAGGTCACAGGATATAGGAAGAAGAAGGTGGCAATCCTGCACAGATATGAAGTGAGAAAATATGGCTATCCGCAAATTTGGGGAATACTCTTTGCCGAAGAAGAATCAAGAAATTATGGGTCAGGTGATGAGACTGAAATAAAAAGTGGCTTCGGCTGGATAGTTAACTTGTGTTTGTGAGAAAAATTGTGATGGAGAAATGATTCCAGATGTTGCCTGAACCCATCTTGTTCTAGTTGCAGGACTGTAATCTTAAATCTAATAGAGAAGTCACCTTGGCTGTTATAAAAGTGGGAAAAGCCCAAAGAGGAATGGTGGAAATTGCAAAGGGAGCCAGGAAGGAACACTCCTGGGAAGCATAAAGGTAAAAGAACTGAAAGGTGTGCAAAAATAAAGAAAATGTACTTAACATATTGTGAATAAGATATTAGAAATATGGACAAAGATTAGGAACTAGAAGTAGGACTATGGTAGTCATAGGAGTACGATAGAGTTAGGAGAAAAACTTTATTTTTGTGAAAAACAAAACTAATTTGAGGTTCTCCTATACTACTCCCTTCCGCAGGGAGGCGGGACCTATTCAACTGATCTGCCCATGGCGACTGATGGACCCAATTGGGTTCCAAAATGAGCTGGGGCTTATACCCGAGGGTCTGCTGCACAGTGCAGTGGAGGCCTTGGCCGCTGCCTGGAATAGGAAAGCAGCCAAGGCCTTGGACGGGATCTCACCCATGCGACCTCTCCTAACCCATTGATTAACCACTCCCCTAACCACTCCCATGGTTCACAGAGGAGTTGAGGGTCTTGAAAAGGATTAAGAGATGTCTAGAGTGCCACTGGAGGAAAATGAGGACTGAACATGACCGAACACAAGCTAGAGCCGTGATTAAGGCCTACCTTGTGGCAGTAAGAGCAGCGAAATGCCAACATTTCTCTGCTCTTATTGCATCTGCAGAATGCTGCCCAGCAGCCCTGTTTAAGATTACCCAACCCCTTTTGGGAAAGGGGAGCCCAGTGGCCCACTTACAGGGCCCCACAGAGAAGTTTTCTGGGCATCTGGAGGATAAAATCACTCACAACCAGTCCCAGTTGGATGCCAAGCGTGCAGCATGGTCTATAGAGATGCCCAGGGTACAGATTTACCCTGTTATCTGGGAACAATTTGATCCTGTTGAATTTGAGCAAGTGGACAGGGTCCTCCAAACGGTCAATGCCACCACTTACTGACTAGATCCATATCCCTTCTGGCTGGTTAAGACTGCTCAGGAGGTAACATGTGGGTAGGTCCAGGCAATGTTGAATTCATTCTCGAGGGAGGGAGTGTTCCCAGCTGCCTTTAAAGAGGCAGTGGTGCATCTCCTCCTCAAGAAGCCATCACTGGATCCCACCATTCTGGACAATTTTTGTCCAGTCTCCCACCTCCCCTATTTAGGGAAGGTGGTTGAGAAGGTGGTGGCGTTACAGCTCCAGAGGATCCTGGAGGAAACAGATTATCTGGACCCCTTCCAGTCAGGGTTCAGGCCTGGACTCGGGATGGAAAAGGGCATTGGTCGCGCTCATGGATGATCTCTGGTGGGAGCAGGATGGGGGTAGTGCATCCATCCTTGCTCTTCTTGACCTCTCAGTGCTTTTGATACCATTGACCATGGTATCCTTTTGTGTCAACTTAAGGAGTTGGGAGTGGGCGGAGCAGTTTTGCACTGGTTCTCTTCCTTCCTCCAAGGATGATCCCAATCAGTGTTGATTGGGAGCAAGAGAGGAGAATGCTACACTAAGTCATCCTAGGCAAATAACACCTAAGAAAGATAAATTACTCTGGAAATAGATATGTGACTTGAGCTGACATTCAACAACTTTTCATTTAGATATGTGAAATAGTAGGAAAAACTATTAGGGAAGAACAATATGCCTTTTCATCAGTATAGTACCAGGACCCATTTATTAGATTTTGGATGTAATGGACATCATTTGTGTCTGGAAATATTCACTTAAATGTATGTTATTTCCATCAATTTCCATTATTTGTTTCATGCCATTAATATGCAAAGGGTGTAAATTTATGTGAATGATGTAAATTTGAATTTAACAAATATTCAGGAATAACAAACACTCCATCCCACCCAAATCATTACTGAAATAAAAGTTTTATTTGTACTTTCAAATACTAGTCTAACACTAGTGGAATTTTTTTGATAAAGAATTATCAGTCCTCTCTCAGAAGCAGACCTTATGGGATGGATGAGAACCTCTAGCCATAGACTACTTCTGGCCAGCCATGCCCCACAGCTGGCCACTGAGTTGTCAAATGATACCCTCATTAAGTTTTCTCAGCCAAAAAACATTACCAAGACACTCCAAATATTGTGAGATTGTGGCTTTTCAGACTTCTCTGCATCATTGTTTTCTCAATGAGGTAAGATCAGGCCAATAAAGCTGGCTGTCATGGCCATTGAGGCAATCAGACTCAGGTAATAAGACCCACTTGGATTTCTGGAAATCTTTATTGCTAGTAGGGTATTATAGCAGAATCTTGAAGGCTTCCCAAAGTCACTCTCTAAATCAACTTGTACCTATCATAATTAAGGTGGAATTACAATGAGTCTCTTTCTCACACTTCCCCTCTCTCCTGGACCAAGGAGTCTTTTCTGTAATGGCCTTCCTTCTTTGTGTTCTCATGGCTGGCTAGACATTCCATCACATAGGCTGAATAGTGAGCCAATGCCTAGAGTACCTTGAAATTATGTCACTTCATGATAATTGGAGTACCATGAAATTTTGTTTCACCTGAGTTGGCTTTATTTACCCCCTTAATCATTATAAAATAGGAAGGTAAGTTTGGAGCACAGCCTGGACTTCCTTTTTGGACTCATACTAGGACCAACACTTCCAACATCTGCCTGAATGGAGAACACTGCAGAGAGGATGGGCTCTGGTTTTCTGTCCCTAACCTCTATTTCTTAAGTATTCTGATGTACAAGAAGTCTGTACAGGAGAATGTAACCCTTGGCTAGTTTCATTTCTTTAATTTCCCCTGCAAAGTGATCAGGCACTTTTTTCCAACTTCCTCCCACATCCTTTACAGTATTATCATAATGTCTGATAAAAACATTACAATAGCCCTCCTGAATCAGGCCAAGGTCCATCTTAGTTTAGATGCTTCTGCAGTGCTCATAACGAGGAGATGGTGACATATATTTTTCCTGTTGTTGTTCCCCTGCAACTCATATGGCAAGGCATGCTGTCCCACCCTGGAGATAATATTGGTTAATAGTCTGGATAGGCCTGCCCTCTATGAATTCATCTTGTCCCTTTTTAAAGCCATTCAAATTAGCAGCTCCATCACCACATCTTGTGGTAATGAATTCTACAGCTTAATTATGTACTCTGTGAAAAAAGGACTTTCTACTCTCTGTTCTAAATCTCCTTCTAATCAGCTTCATGGGTGACCTCTATCCAAGAGAAAAGAAAAACTTCTCCCTGTCCATTCTCTATAGAACAAGTGTGATTTTAGACACATTGATTATGGATTCCATCAGTCACTTTCTTTCAAAGATAGAGTCCCAAAGTTCATTTTGAATGCCCTCTTCTGCAGTTTTTTGGCTCTATTACATTCTTTCCAAATGCAGCAATAAGAACTATACACAGTATTCTAAAGACAGGCATGCCCTAGGTGTGCATAAAAGTGCTAGTGTGGAAAGTTTCAGTTTCAATTTTCTAATAAGCCTAACCATGAATAGTTTGAAACGTTAATGGCCCCTTTGTGCCTGTGTAGAATCCCTAACTGCAGCAGATGCAGCTAACTTTAGCTGAATTTTGTTCAGGGCATTGAAAGAGTGATTGACAGTTCTAAAATAACTCAAAGTTATACACAACTTTGCCATTTTTTCCTAGAAAATGGTTGCTTTCCAGGCAGAAGCACTTTACATCAAGTAGAAGCAAATGTAAAAAAGGCTGTGGGTGAGATCAAATCTAAAATGTGACAGCAGCATGGTTGACAATTGATATGTGGTGTCCTGACAGTTCACACCATTGCCTGGGCAGAACTAATAACTGGCTTCACTGAACTTAAAATGCATTTTCTTTTTTCTTTTCTTTTCTTTTCTTTTCTTTTCTTTTCTTTTCTTTGCACTGTTATTGATATTTATACGAAGTAATAATTGTGGTTATTGACTTCCTCCTACAATTATATTTTAAGGATTAGTTTGGAAGGCAAGAGAAACTTCCTCTCAATAAACACGGAAATCCTTTTCGGGACAACCATTATTTGGAGGATGGGAAAGCAACAGGGACTGGCTGGCTAACTGTAGAGCAAGGGGCTGGCCAAGCGAGGAGGCGCAGCGGGCCCCCCATCCTTCCAGTTACTTACCCAGCATTCCGGAAAACAGTGAAAAAAGCACCAAGATTCTCGGACCCAGGTGGGAGAAGAAGTTCCCGAACATCGCAGCGGAACGCCAACCGCTTGATTTTTCCCGTCAAAGAATGAATCTCCAAACGCGCCGGGAAAGGGTGCGGAACTGAGGCGGGCGCCGTAGGGGTGTGTGCAATAAAGACAGGTCAGAGCGAATCCCACGGAGGAAAGGAGAAGGCTAGGTAAGGGCTGCTCCGCAACCAGCTGCCGGAGAAACAGGGCGGTGGGTGGGTCAAAATATTGTGAAAGCTGAACGTTCTTTATTATTCCTTCCGCTTCTTGCCCTCGTCCCCTCCAACAAGCTGACAGTACGGCATTCGCAGTTCATTGCTAGGCGTATGTTGTGTCAAACACACATTACATCTTCCCCGTTTTTGGAAATCTGCAAACGACTGTTTTGCCCCACCTAAAAAGCAGAGCCAAGCTCCAAATCCGTCGATCCATGGTACGGATCCTTACCGACTTTATCATCTATTAAAAAAACCCAAAACCTTAAAACTGTATGTTCTAGCCCTAAATAGTGCTTTTTCCAAAGTACATGACTGCTTTACTCCCCTTCCACAAGAACACTAATTCCAAGGTTATAGCATTAGGTAGATATAATGCCTAAATTCCGTATTCTGGATTTCTAAAAAGTACTGTTACCAGTTTTTATGTGAAGTAATGATAGTGGCTCCTCCTTTGTTCTTACTTTTACAGCTGCATAAGATTGCCTCACATCTCCATGCCACTGTATTCTAAAAGTGTATATTTAGGCATTAAGAAACATGAAATATACTTCTTAGGAATATGTTCCTATATGGTTTAGAATTAATTATAACCATAAGGATTGAATTAATTTATTTTGTTAACTGTAGTTATATGGATCTTTTCCCCCTCTGTTAATTAGGCTTTTCCAGGCGCAGGGGGTTATCACAGTTTATTTAATCACTGTCATGTATTTAGCTTTTCTTTTTCCCTGTTTAATCACTATATTTTTGTTGGTGCGGTTTTATTTCACTATTTTTAAAAATGTGAATGTTATATTAGTTTGATTGTCTGAGGCATGGCTCAGTGATTGCAAAGCTCAACAAACAAAGCAACTTTATTTTTGCGTTTAGCAATCTAAAAGCTTAACAGCATTCCTAACACTATGTAACACATGTAGACTATCTGTTATAAGACTATTTATTATAGTATAACCCAGCCATAGGAATATATATATATATATATAGTTATGCATTTACCTGAAGCGTTTGTATACCACTTCTCATTAAAATTTTCAATGTGGTTTACAATATAATTCCTTATAGGTTAATACCAGCATCTTGAATTAGGACTGAAAATTAACCAGAAACCAGCAGAGATTGTAAGGAACAGGTATGATATTTCTAGTTCCAGTCAGTACTCTTGCTACAATATTTTGTACTAACTGAAATGTCTGAACCATCTTCAAGGATGATCCCATATATAATAAACGAGAAGTTAACAGGGCATGGATTATAGTGCCAAGACTATTTCTATATGAGTAGAGCCATAGCTGGCCCTTAGCTGATAAAAAGGACTGTACTTCATGCCACAGAAAGCATCTATCATCTAATGTGGTAAATTGATCCAGAAGCACCTTCAAGCTGCAAATGTGATCCTTTCAGGGATGTGCAACTTTCAGAACAGAGTGGACACCTCTAACCTAGATTAATGAACCATCTGCTAACACTTGGTTCAGTCTTGTCTGAACTGAACTTTAGTTTCTTGATTATTATCCAATCCAGTACTGCAGCCAAATACTAATTTAGCACTTCCTCTACCTCACTGAATCTGAAGAAAAGGAGAAATAGAGCTGGGTTTCACCAGTGTTCTGAAGACACTGATGACACTTCATTCTAAAACATCAAATGATTCACTCAGTGGTTTCATGTAAATATTGAATAGCACGGGGGATAAAATATATTGGTCTCACAGTGGCTTCATTTAATGAGGCTGGAACCATTCTTTCTAGAAGGGAGAAATTTATAACTTCAGAAATTCAGGTGAGCACTTCTTTTTACTAGCTGTAATAAGCCATGAGGAGCAAAGGACAATAGAACATGTGGTTGGCCAAACTTTTCCAAACACTTTGTTGACATCAATAGGCCTTAAAAACGAACTGATCCCAAGAAATATGGCCAGAGAGGGACCTGGATACTTTTACAGATTCAAATATCAGAATGGCAGAGTCTAAGTATAATTAATTTGATCAAATACTTTGCTTTCAAAGTATTTAGCCAACACTTTAAGGCCAGAGTGTAAGATAATCTAGTTAATACAATCTACCTTGGAAAGGGAATAATGAGAAGAGTTAAGCATAAGCTGTGTCCTCTCTCTTCTTCTTTTGTGATACGTTACTCTTCTAATGCCATTTTTCCTTCTATCCATAATTACCGTAACTGGATATCCCCCATCCTTCCATATGACATTATTCTGAGACTCTCCCAGGCATTAAAATAAAAAGCAGTGCACAATATAATATTACTCTCCTTACCCAGGCTTAGAAGCAGTGCAGGCCACTTCTAATTGTAGATCTGGACAAAAGAGGGTGATGGTAATGGTGAAGTTGTTACTATGCTCAAGGGCCTGCTCCAGGCCTAGGCTAAATATTCCACTAATCCTTTCAAAGAAACCTAGGGCTGGGTGGGGAGAGTGCTGGAAGCTGGGGATCTTATTCAGCTCCAAAACAATACAGGCTGATGGAAGGGATGAACTTGCTGCTTTACAAATTAACCATTGGCAGCATGTGATTGCCATAATACCTACTTTCACACTGTGCCTCTTTCAAAATAAAATACAATTGAAAAAACATCTGGGGACAACATCATGTTACAATCCATAAATTCAATTTTCTTCTCAACAAAGCAGGAAACTTACCAATGAGGCAGGCAGCAGCCTTTGTGTCTCTCTCCATAGTATCTGATCCTTGGTTTCAAAACATATACTTTACCTTCTCACAATCATTCACACCTATAATGTGTGATAAATGTACTCCCAGACTATGGACTTGCTTTTTCAGAAGTACAGCTGCATCCAGAATCAGCTGAACTTCAGTTTTCAATTCCAGTTTCCCACTGACTAACAGCACCTCCATCTTGTTTGGATTTAATTTCTGAAAATTAAAAAAGAGGAAGAAGTTGGCCTATGTACCAAGCAAGTGCTCTGTGTCCACCACTAAAGCCCTGTAAATAACACACTTTCTCTTATTTTTTGAACTGACTAGGTTGGAGTGAGATCAGAGCACGCCTCTTATATGCATGAGGCCCTGTTAGCTCTGGAATGATCACAGCTGAAGAGAAAGATTCTTATGGCAGTTGGAGGTCAACTGTCACTCTGAAGAGACAAAGTGTGGGAAGAAATAAAACAAGGAATGCAATTAAACCGGCAAAGTCAGAACCCCACAGGAGGGAGAGGAGAGGAGAGGAGAGGAGAGAACTTTTAATAGCTGCAGCAGAATTGTATCAGATTAACTATAGGTGAGTGGGAGAGCAAGAGGAGGATTGAAGAGGAAGAAGAAGCAGGCAAACTGAACAGATTCCTAACCAAGTTAAAATTAAAAAAAAAAAGATTATTGCTGGATACCAGCAGAAGGAAAGGGTGTCAGCCATTCGAGGCAGACCAAGTCAGGAAATGGACTCCACAAGAATGCTGGTACAGGCTATCATAACAGAATCTTGAAATATGGAGTCCTTCAGCATACTGGTTGGGTACGAAGCGTCTGCAAGAAAACAACCAAGCTCAGAAAACTCCAAGGACTCCACAGTTCAATCCTGAGCTACATACATTCTCTTCTATTAAAATCTTGAAAGCCTGACGGTGTTTTCTTTTCCCTCCTCCTTATATCCCAGGAGTGAAGGTGGAGTCAGTTTGAGTTTCTTTTAATGTTTTCTTCATTTCCTGGGCTTAAAACATGTTTGGGTAAGGTTACAACATACTTGCTCCAAAGTCATTTCTGTGGCTGTCCACACTGGGTGATTCAATAATGTGGTGCCTACAGTTTGCATAGGCTGGTTGCCAAAGAAGCAGAAGAAATGATCCAGAATGGAGCACTGCAGCAGTTGTGATGTGGAGTTCACCTGATGAAGTGATGCCATAATTTATTCATCATTATTATCATAATTAATCTTTAATCTGTGTCTGTGTTGGTACTTCTTTAAAGATATGAGAACTACAAATTCTGCACTTTATTTTATTCTTCATACCAGTGTTTCTCAACCTTGGCAGCTTTCAGATCTGTGAACTCCAACTCCCAGAATTCCCCATCCAGAAATAATATAGTAATTATAAGTTTTACTGTAATGCTATATTGTATTTCTGTTATTGTATGCCACTGTACATTTATTTTGCATGGGCTGCAGGTATTGCTTTTGTACACAGTGTGAGCTAGCTGTGACTGAAGCAGTCCCTAAAATAAATAAATAAAAATCCAGCCAACTGTGAATAATTCTATCTAGTAGCAGGAGAATCTGTTTTATTATCTAATGGATTCCAAGTCTTGATGGCTTGGAGGAATTGAAAAATGTTAATTATGGGATATTGGAACACTCAAAAGAATAATTGCTTAACTCCAACACTTAGTGAGATGTTTCCTGAACTTGTAGTATTTGAAACAGCTATTTTGAGCTCAAAATGTATTTTACTTAGAATGTTCTGCTCACCTCAAGGATTCCAGACTTTCCAATATGAATAGTGCTGTTACAGAATGTTTGAACTGGCCACAGAATGGCCTTTTGCTGCCAAAGGTACAATCTAGTTGGTGTGAGACAACTCATAGAAATGAAGTTGCAGATTCTGAAATATGAAACATCTGCTATGTTTGTCAGATCAAAAGGGAAACTACTGTATCATGCTGGTGAAATCCTGCAGAATATGTGAATTTGTGAAATACCCAGATTTTTGAGTTTCCAGTATTATTTCTCACACAGAAAGTAGTTCAACTTGAATAAATGCTATCTGGCTGACAAGTATAATAATGCGGATGTATTAGCAAAAAGGACAGAAAACCCTAACACGTAACAGTAAAAGCATTTTTTTAATCAGGTTATCAAAGGTTTATTCAATATTCCCAACAGTGTTCTGGCAGACAGTTTTCTGAGTGTTACTATGTGCTTAGTCAGGTCTAGAAGCCATCAACAGGGCCACCTTAACAAGGTAATCCCTGGGCTGGACCATGTAGAGTAGCAGAACTGGCTTCTGTTACAGCTGATAGGGACCTGCAAAAACTGATTACTGTATGTTTGTAGATATGTCTCCTTCCTACAGTTTTGATTCCCTTCTCTCTGTTTTTAAGTTTCTCTCCAAGAGTCAGCATTCCATTTCAGATACCAGCTGCTCAGTCCTCATTAGTCTGTGCTTCTTGCAATACCCTTAGCTTTGGGTTAGAAGTTTAGAATGCTAAACTCCCACATCACTTGCACAATTCAACTTTACCTTTGTGCACAAAAGGGCTGACATTTTGCGAACAGAATAATCAGGTGTTTCCTTGTGGCAAGAAATCAGGGGACTAGAAACTAATTTCTATGAAGAGTGATTGAAGACTTTTAGTCAGGGAAGGAGCAATTGCTCCTCTGTTGTCTTTCCTCTCTCCTTATTTCCTTTTGTATTGCATCTGGAGATTGCAGGTAGGGAATGCCTTGACTTCTAAAACATGTATAACATTTGAAAATGTAAGTACTTTATAAATATAAATGTGACCTGTTTATGTTCTTTAGGTGAGGGGAAGACTTTGAAATGTGAATATTGCTAACTATTTAACTTCATCTTTTAATAAAACATTGAAACATCAGTTTAGAAGTTGTGGTTCTAACCAATAGTTCCCATAATCATGTTCCTGTGGGTCTAATCTAATAAGGGGCAGGATGTGTAAAGAGTGAAGGGCGTTGTATTTTGTGACCTGTACTTTGCTAGTAAGAAAATAAAGTTCTAAAATTCTAGGAGCAGTTCTGAGTAAGAGGAGAGCAAAGAGTGCAGACAGCAGGGTGGGGGAGGATACAGCAACGCATCACGCTGTGACTCAGCTCACTACAAGCAAGAATTATTTCAAACAATTCTTTGAATGTTTCCACTATCAGATGATCCACCCATGAATTAGAGAGAACTGTTGGGGAAGATAAGTGATAACTGATAGGGCTGCTGTAAACTGTGCAGCATTTACATTCTTTGATCCTGATTAAAGTGTGTTTGCGTATGTTGTTCAATTTGGGTTGAAAAGGTTTCGTTTGAATGTGCTTTTTTGAACTTGTCTTTCTGTCAGCAGTATTCTGTTCAAATGTGTGTGTTCAGGATTGCAGCATTAAAGGAATAAGACTCAAACCCACACAGAAGTATTCTGAGAATGTTTATTTCAAAGAGATTTAAGAAGTCTAGGTGTCCATGTAAGCTGCATCCTGCGCCAGAGAAGAACAAGGGCAAGGCACAGGCTGATGGCAATGTCTGGTTCCTTCATTTTGGTCAGCTGGAGAGAGCAGTAGCTGGCAGCATGGAAGGCTGGAGCAGCACTCCTTTGCTGTTCTCCTCACCCTTACAATCTGAATCCTCTTTTATATGTTATTACCGGATGCTTATTGTGAAACTGGCTCAGATGTTGGGGGGGGGGGGGATAATATCGCACAAAAATCAGACAATGATCTTTGTTGTGTCATTTAGGGTTAAAAGTACACCTGGAGCTCTGCCTCAATCCCATATTTCAGAAGGGGAAGTGGTTGATTCCATGGTGATTGGAAGCAAGCTATAAACATTCTGGAGTCGGGTAGTGCCTAAATCAGATACATTAAGTTAAACCAAATTAAGTATTAGGCACAGACAAGAAATGGCCATCGTAGAATTTGCACATGTAATGGATAAATATGTCTTGTAAGTAGTGGTTGTAACTGCTAAAAAGAAAGCTTACGAGGTTCGTTTCCGAGCCGGGAATAAACACGCAGGCGGTTGCTTGAGGGAGAGAGACGACTTTATTTTCCGAGAGTCAGATACACAAAACGAGCTGCTGTCGGGGCTGCTGCGCTCGGGGTTTCCCCAGGAGTTCCTTTGATAGGGAAGATACTCTTGTTCCTTGAAAGGTGCGAAGGAAGGCCGCCCTCTAGGAATTCTTAAGAAAGGGTAATTGGCTGGGATCCCAGGGGAGGGAGCTCGCCTGGTGAAATTGACTGGGGAGCAATTGGCTAGGGAGCGTTCTACGGGCAGGCCCCCTGCTGCGCTGGGGTTTCCTGTGTTTGCCTTTGTCTGGTATTGTCTGATTGGAATGTAGATCCCTTCGGGGAAGAAATCTTTTTATAATTCGATTGTGGCTTCAAGGAATGTTGGCCCTTCCTGCTAGGTCTTTAAATAACGTTTAACTAACTACTTTTCATAAATTTGGGCTGGGGTGGAGGACTCTTGATTCTTTCTGTCACCTCTTAATCTTTTTAGGTGAGCCCATTCTTACTATAATTTAGTTATATACCTTGATTGCTGTTAAGATAAACAATGGTAGGGTGAGACAAATGGGAAGCTTTGACTTCCT